GGGACAGTGAGGACACTGCCCTATAACACCCCACAGCTCCTGAGGGACAGGGAGGACACTGCCCTATAACACCCCCCAGCTCCTACAGCCCCTCACTCAGCTCACATTGACAGGGACAGTGGAAATATATATATATATAAAGTAAAACTCCTGGCTGAGCCCATGAGCTTGTGGTTCCGGGGCCGAACTGTTCCACCAGGCCCTTGTCCAAAGTCCCTGTGCAGCTTTCTTGGAGCTCTTTTGGGAACTTCTCTTCTCCACGTCTCATTATTTACCATTCCCCTTTTCCCTGTGTCATGGAGATACCTTCATGACAAATGACTTTGTTGTTTCTTTCAGGGCACTAACGAGAGTGCTTGGAACGAGCAAGGGATCTCCATGATGCCCTGACTGAATCCCATTAATTCAGTACTTAGGATGCTTAGGAACCTGCTGGCCAGTTTTAAATTCTTTAATGTGTATCTTGCTCATGCTCTAACTTGTCCAGTATTTACATGTTCTTTCCGCCTTGGGCTAAATGATGTACAGAATTTCAGTAGAATCACCTTCGTCAATGAAACCTGTATTTCTGGGTTTTTGTGTTAGCTTGTCAAGATCTATTTTCAGTAAACTCATAGGCCTTCATTATAACACATTTCTCATATATAATTCTTGAAAAGATGAATATTATTCCATCATTTTTCACTTAACTGATATCAAAGCGAGAAGCCCACAATTACCTGTATTGTCCTGGTTATTCTTTTCCTAGATTGGCACAGGAACTGTTTTCCTGTAGCCCTCCAGAGCCCTCCAAGATTAGTGAGAAATCAATACCATTGGTTCAAAGTTCTCTCCGTTCCTTTACTTTGTATCGCTTCTTTTAATGTGAATTACTCACAGTAATGAACTTCAATGCCTAAGCAGCTCTATTTATAATAGTCATCCAGATTACTGTTTGAATAGGAGTCTGTATCCCCACAGAATTCATCTGGAGAACAGGAATATGTATCATTACACCCCAAAGGCAGGACATTCTTTTGTACTTGTTATGACAACTCCATCATTTCTATTAATCAGAAGGAAGTAGAAACAGTAACAAGGAAGAGGAATGGAAGTGGAAGTGGCTTTGTCTAAGGCAATCGTTTATTCCAGATGAATAGAATGAATTCTACATTATATAGTATTCTACAGAATATTCTACACAAATTTCCTGAGTTTTAGAAACAAATGTGAAACAAAAACTGACTGCCAAAACCACAACAGAATCCACAAGTGCCAGCCAGAGAACTACCCACCAAGCTGCAGTATTCTTCCTTCTGGATCCCTCCTGAGCAACTCACGTCTATCTGTACAAGCTACACAAACCTGTTCACTTAGTACCTTGACTTCCCCATGTGCACGCTAATATTAGAATTTTTTTTTCATCAGGGTGACCTGGCAGCAGTGAGTGAAAGCTCTGCTTATGGAATGGTCAGCGAACTTGGTTCTCTGGATAATCATCTACAGACATTCCTATTTAACCTCACAGCAGAGCTTGCTCTGAGGGTTTCTCTTCCTCTGCAAACCTCTCAAGCTCAGAGCAAAACCAGGTTCTCCTACACACTTCCACTGAGGAGGATCTTTGTTCTCAAAGTGCCCCTCAGCAAAGCCAGCCCAAGCCTCGCTCCTCTCACCTGCACCTCAGGAGATACCAAATGCAAGGTTATAGGAAGTGCTGCAGAAACACTACACTCTCCACATGCAGCCTAAATAAAGCTTTCAGATCCTACTGATTAGAGACTTGGACCAGAACAGGGTTAGCAGGGCAAAATACAGTCACAGCAACATATGGAGCCACTTTAAAATTCAGAGCACTGACTGTACCTTACAGATTTTGTACAGAGATTCCTGACCGTCTCCTTCTGTATCTTTGAAATAATCATGTGCTGGGTATGTACGATGGATATCTCGTTTGATGACACTCTCCTGAGCAGAATCCTGTAAAAAAAGAGAGAAAAACCTCAATGTATTAACCTGGTTACAGTGTAGTTAAACATCTACATAACAGAAAATGCCCTGTGTAATCAACATGGATACATCAGGTAACTGCTTTACTGACTCATCCTCCAGAAATGTTCTGAGAAGAAACTGAAAATCCTTTGCAGTCTCAGATGCAGTAATAACTCGACAGTTTAGCCAGAGTAACATGGCTTGTTTTCTGGCCTTCAGGTTTAAGGTTTATCCTTAAAACTCCAAGGAAATTACTAGTTATTTAACTGTTGCGGCATTATTACCACAGATCATATGCTTATTGTATTGCTCTGGCAGTAAAAAACCCAAGAGAATTAGAGTGTCCCTCTCCTGCAAGCTCAAAGGTACTAATCTGAAATGTGTATCAAGTGGCCATAAAAAGTGATAGCTAAAAATTCATAAAGAATTCCTATAAAAAGATGGGAATCACTGCAATCAGACCTGAGAAACACCACTGTGTGCATGAGGAAGTGGTATCAACACGTCAGAGCTGGAACTACAACAGTTAATCAATTATCTTCAGGTTCCAGTTGCCATCAGTGCAAGATATACCTTTAGGTTGGTAAATATCAAATGGTGCTTTTCTCTATTACCTTTCTAATCCTTAAGGAAAAATCAACAAAATCCTCACCTGTGACTTGGAAAATAAATCCTTTATATATACTTTTACCTTGAAAACAAAATAACTCTGTTACAGAAAAGCTTCTGAACCCTCAGACTGTATCTAGTAATCCAGGGCTTTCCATAAAAAAAGCTCTTTTTATACCTGCTGGAGTCAGTAACCAGGTAATCTCCTGAATTTCGGTGGTTTCTTAATCCCATAAAGCCTCTGTAGAGAGCCTGTGCCACACAGAAATGCAGCTGCCTGGGGAGGGCCGAGCCAGAGGTCCACAGCAATTCCCAGCTCCAGCTCCCTTTGGGCCCATCCGTAGCCAACACACACAGAGGCACCACCCTGGGCCAGACCAGACTACCCCAGAGATGAAATCCCACCGCTGTATTCCTCCATCCCCTTCCACGGCAGCGAGGACACAGCCATGGATGCCCCAAGCACAAACATCACTTCGTGTTTTCTGACCCCCTTTAGTATTTTAGCCTGAGTAACACTGCACAGAGAATCCCAGAATGGTTTGGGTTGGAAGGGACCGTAAAGCTCATCCAGTTCCACCTGCTGCCATGGGCAGGGACACCTTGCATCAGCCCAGGTTGCTCCAAGCCCCGTCCAACCTGGCCTTGGACACTTCCAGGGATCCAAGGGCAGCCACAGCTTCTCTGGGCAACCTGTGCCAGGGCCTCCCCACCCTCACAGCCAAGAATTCCTTCCCAATATCCCATCCAACCCTGCCCTCTGGCAGTGAGAAGCCATTCCCCCTTGTCCTGTTCCTCTCCAGTCCCTCTCCAGCTCTCTTGGAGCCTCTTTAGGTACTGGAAGGGGCTCTAAGCTCACCCTGGAGCCTTCTCTTCTTCTCCAGGCTGGATAGCCCCAGCCCTCCTAGCCTTTCCTCACAGCAGAGGTGTTCCAGCCCTCTAAAATACCAGGCATATTGTTGTGTGCTATGACAAGGAAAGCTTACAAAGAAAGGGGATGTTTTTTATTATGCCAATTGGTACTGCTGGAGAAAATAAAACCTGGTTTTGTGCTTTCACTGTGTTATCATGATGATTCTCATCAAAGCACCGTGCAACTATGAGCAACCAAAACTAACCACACAACAAAGCAAGAAAACACAGACTAATAATGAAAATTTAATAACAAGCAGTTCTCTAATCAGACTTCTTTAATGAGTATTTTCATTTACATGGCTTCCAAACACCAGAGAGGTTGGAAAACTGCAATTTGGGTCCCAGATGAGGAAATGCCTTAAACAGCATTTGAGATCTACCAGCACATTTATGTGAATTCTTCAGCACAGATTTGATAAGATTCAGAGAAAATTACAGGAAGGGCACCACGTCCAGCACACACATCACTTTCCTGTCAAGTCATTGTGTTTGACTTCCCAGTACTTCTCCTTCCTCGATCGGGAGGCCAACATGTAACTGAGCACACAGAAGCTGACAAGAAGATGTCCAAGGTAGGGCCAAAAATATTTGTGTAAAGGCCCAAGCGCACAGTCACTTTTACTGAGTTAAAAGGAATCTGAAGCAGTCTTCATTCAGCATTATTAACAAAAGATACTTCTGAAAAACTAAAGGAAAACAATTAAATGGACCCCAAAAAATTAATTTGGAAGACTGGAGAATTAACTCTTCCTCAAAAAGCAATATCCCTTCAAAATACAATAAACCCATAATTGCAGACAACCAAGCAATGAGTCTAGAGTGTAGAACTACTTCTTAAAATAGACCAAAAATACCTTGGTTAAGTTTCTACCTTTTTGCAGGCAGTTTGTCGACAGTGCTGTTCTCAGGAGTACCACAGTTTACAGTTCTCTTCATTTAGGCTTTTGGAGGATTTTTATTCTTCTAAAAGTCGTGATTAGTTAATTTATAATGGAAAAATAAAAAAGCTAAGGTGAGATGGCTATCAAAGCATTCAGAGTTCTAATGATCTTTCTCACTTCTAATAATCATTTCGGTGCTGCCAACTCAGAGAAACAATATTCTACTGAGGAAAAGAATTATCTTCACGTGTCAGCGCTCCGACAGCTGCCACCCTGCTGAACAAGCTCTCTGCTCCAAGTCATCTCCTTCTGAAACAGCTCCTGCAACGGAGCAACTACCCTGGAAAATTGACTCCTTGACATTGCTGCCACTTCCAGCTCTCAAGATGCTGCTCTGTGTGGGCATTTGATGCCAGAAGGCAGATGGACAGAGAAATAACGAAGAGAACAGAAAACTGTTTGTATTAAATAAATGTTACAGTAGAAACATAGGGCAATCTTTATGCACCTACGTCTGGAATTTTTAATTAAGAACATCTCACATGCACTCCAACTCATTTGTTGTCTCAAGTGGACACAGTCTCATGATGAATTACAGATAGGGAGCAGAAGAGACTTCCAAGAACTGGAGAATAAGTATTGGATCAGCCAGAAAAATTTATTAAGTAAGAAAAATCTCCTGGGGCATAACATGTCAATGCTGTATTGAGACTCAAGATTTCTTGCCCAATTCTGCCCAAAAATTGCTTTTGTGAAACCAGGCACATCCTTTATGCAAAAAAAATTCCAGTTTTCCTTACAGCTTCTGCATTACAGCTGCTGATTCAGTATGGAAAGATGCAGAATTAAAGGAATTCAAAAGTTTAATGTGAATATTAAGGAAATAATAAACCGGGTCACAGGTGTCTGAAACCTGGCATTCCAACTGAGCAGCAATTCTGACCTCAATCTCCTTGTGCCCCATTTCCCTGGTTAATAATAATTTCCCATCTCAGTAGGGTGGTACGAAAATCAATTAACATCTGAAGCACTGAAACGCTGTAGTGATGAGTCCTGCAGAAACGTTGAGGAGGGAAATAATAACTCCAGCCTCCAATACTGATCTGAGTGGTGTCTAGTAAGGCACAGGGTTACATGACCAAAATAGTAAGGGGGAAGAAAAAAAATAAAGCAGCTCATTAGATAAACACTTTTGTACACAACCAGGCAGAGAGCCTGTGAGGAACACAACCCAAAACTATGGACCTCTGTGTGATCAAGAATACATCATTAGGTATATCAGTAGGTAATTCTTATACTGTACTGAACTTCCAAAGGCTTATCTCTAATCTTAAAATCCTTCAGAGTTGGTTTTATCACATATGTTTACACAGGAATATATAATTTGCATTTTTTAGTGGGAGGTGTCCGTGCATATGGCAGGGGATGGGAGTGAGATGAGCTTTAAGGTCCCTCCCTACCCAAACCACTCTGGGATTCTCTGTGCTGGAGACTCACTGCAAGTTCACCTGAGTGGCCCATTTTAAAGGTCTGCATCTCTGATGAGGCTCAACAAGCTGAATTTGTATCACCTGAACTTCATCTCTTTACTAGCTAAAAACAGTCAGAATTCAGAGTACCAAGGAAAGGAAGAAAAGGGGAAAAAAAATTAGAATGGGCTTTCAGCAGCTAAAATTACCATGTCCTGGAAATCTGGTGTGTCATGCTCCTTCAGGATCAGATACTGAAACTTTGCTACATGTTGTATGGAAAGCAAAAGCCTCCAGGCTGCTGCAGGCATTCATTCATCTCTCCTGTTCAGCCAAGACGTGAAAACACACCTCCTGCTGGTATCAGGAGTTGGAGGTACTCTCAGTAAACCTGGCTCTTAACCCTGAAAAGCTGTAAATTGAAACATTGACTGCCAGGTGCACGTTCCTGACATTATGACATTGTTTCAGTACCCAAGTGTTTGCTGAAGGAACAGATTTTTTGCAGATTGCTTATTTTGTTCCTCAAAGTTCTCTGTGGTTCTGTGCAGTTCCACACAGGAAATATGAGTAATTACTTTAAACCCTCTAACACATAATCACAAACAGGCAGAAAACACAAACTACATAGAAGAGATGAGGTCAGTCAGCCTGGGTTTGAAATGATCTCCACAACTGGCACAAAGCTCTGCCCTCATTATTACTGATATCCTACCAAACTCCTGTTTCCAGTGAACCTGACAGCACATTGTGCCAGCATGTATATAGACATTATCAATCCCTTTCCTCTCCTCATTTTCCATGCACATTATAACCCTCCAAGTAGAATCTGTGATCCAAGAAAACCTCAGGTTCCCTACTAATCAGTATTTGGGGGGGGAAAAAACATAATCAATAGCTCATCCTTCCAGAAACATTGAATATAAGATGTTTGGCTTCTGCTCAGGTCTTCTGTAGCATATTCGTAATATATATCTTGTAGTTCAGCTCTTGCCTATAAATAGGCAATCATCATCAGCTTTTATTCAGCTGAGAGCATCTAACACTCAGACAGTACTAATTAACAGAGAAATGGAGAAAAAAAGCAGGGGATTATTCTGTGGAGACTTTTTTT